ATACGCCTTTTAAAGCTGTTTATTTGCAAAATTTCTCCCTGGTTGCTGCTTCCCAGTCGAAATATGGCTAGAAAGTGGCTTCCCTATATTTGTGTGTGATTTGCATGGGCACCAAGCCCTTCATATGTCTCTAGAATGCCATAGATGCGGTCGTTTCCAAAAGGTATGTACTTCGTCAAAAGGTATCTACATCGTACAATGAGACGCCATACATTGGTGTATAGATCTGGCATGATGGATGGAGCATCATCACGACAAATTTGAAAAGTTGCAGCACTCGAACCCTGCGCAAAGTGCAAGCTATTAGAATGTAATATTATTACAATTAAATTATTTAAAAATCACCGAGCGACCAGGGAAGCCGCAAATTAGCACATTGACACGCCGTTTGTCAGAATAGTCATGTAGTTGTTTATTGAAAAGTATTTTAAATATTTTCGAATTTGCAACATTATGGCCATGCACGTGACCATGGCCGCCGAGGCGAGACCGAGCCCAGATTGAAGTTTTTTCGGTGGTCTCTTTTATACTCTGGGGTGCTTCCTAAAGGTCTCGAGAGGTTGTACGCAAACAGGCGTGATCAACAAAGGTCTGGAAGTTGACTTTTTGTAAATGCACCGAACAATGGTTATCTCTATGTTTGAGAAGCCGTGGGGACCCAGCAGAAGTGAGGAACGTGTAGTTCGAGATGCGCTAGTCGTAACTGAATGAAAAAACGGAGTTTTGATTCGCTTCCGGGCCAAAATAGGAATAAAAAAGAAATAAATGAAGGAACATTCCAAGAGATTCGTTAAAAAATCTTTAGAGGGCCATAAAAGGATAACGGGATGGCCTACTAAATAAAAATAAGTCTCCTCCAGCAGGGTTCGAACCTGCGACCTCACGGTTAACAGCCGTACGCTCTACCAACTGAGCTATAGAGGATTCTGCACGCTACAAAACGTCCACACTACCAATCAGCAATACAACATTACCATCCACTTTTACGCACACAAATGGCCCTACATACCTCTCTCCATGCTTACACTCAATTATAATATGCTCAAAACACATCTCCCATGCACTCCTCTCACTCCAGCCAATTTTTCATTTTCCCGTAATTTCGCGTCTTTTTCGTTTCTCGTTGT